TTTTTATGTAAATATGGAACCTGGTTAGCTTGAATCCCACCCTGAAAATCCATTAGAGTAAAGATAAAAATAAATACAACAATGGAAGGAGGGAGAAAGAAGAGGGGGGAAAAAGGGAAAAGGAGAGGAAGTAAGGGGGAAAAGTAAGAGTAGGAGAGAGGGTAGGAAGGGGAAGATGAGAGGAGGAGTGTGGGAGAGGGAGGGGAAGAAGAAAAGAAAAAGGAGAGAAGGAAAGAAGAAGATAAAGAAGGGAGGTTGGGATGATTGGAGAAGAAGTTGTAAAATAAAATGGATGTATGGGGTATCACAATGAATTTTGATAAATGTTAAAAGACAACATATAAATATTAACAGTACTTATATGAGAAATTAAACCAAAATTAATACTGAATGGCCTATAAAAATATATTGCTAAACACAAAGTTGGGTCAACCTTTATATATTCACTTTGGAGAATACTCATTTTGTTGAAAAATATAGCACTTTACAAAATACAACAAAAGTATAGCAATGTATGGTAGTATTACAATTATAATCATGTTTTAAGTAAAGGTTGTACAGCGTAACTTTCAAGGCTCATGTTTTCCTAGCCCCAGTTTGACAAGTCTAGTCATGCTCTTCCATGTATTTAGCAATTCTTTCTCTGGAGTAATCAATGAAATGTTACTTCTGAACAACATATAGTATTCCCATTAATACTCTAGCCCATTGAAATGATAAAAACGATAACAATGAAGACCCTATGGCATAATCAAACTACTGGACAATTCACTTGCAGCCTTCAGAACCCTACATTTTTTGAAATGACACAACATTTCAAGCACATTTCCCCCCCATGAACAATTCTGTAGAGAAGCAAGAATTGGATTTTTATACCATATAAGTGATATCACCAGAAACAACATACCTGTGGCATCTTGAAGAGGGAAAGGATGTTAACCATGTTTGGATAGATATCAGAGGAAGGGCCTCCAATGACTGCTATTGGTCTGTTTTCAGCATCACAGTTGTAGTTAGGTATGAATTGGCCCTTTGTAAAGAAGAGCTCCAATGAGACTCGGTATGTCCAAGTTGGATCAAAATAGCTATTATAAATATGGAAGCCTAAGGTATGGTTTGGTAAAATAGAGGGATTTCTATTGATCTCCATCATGGCAAATTCTAAAGCCAGGATGTGTTGATACATTGGAGTCATGACTCTAAAATGAACATTATATATCTTATCATTATACACTCTGCTGAAACTGTGATGTATGGTACCATGTTTCCCCGAAAATACAACCTGTCCTGAAACTAAAGCCTTGCCACATTTTTTGTGTGGGCAAAAATATAAGCCCACCCCTGAAAATAAGCCCCCTGGACAATCCCACCTCCAGTCAAGCAGAGTACCACTCACCAACCTAGCGGTATCCTGAAGGCGCCAAGCCACGGGAACGAGGTGGGGGGCAAAAGCGCTCGGGTTGCATGGTGCCTTCTGGGTACCGCTAGATCGGTCAGTGGAGCTGTGCCCAGCTGCAAAGTGGGGTTGCCAGGAGGCTGCTCACGAGTGTGGTCACCTCATAGCTGCTGTGTTGCTGCTGCGACAGCGCAACACAGCCATTCGACCCTGAGGCTGTGCCCGGCTCTTCGGGAGCCCAGTCGCAAGGGAGCAGCCGCCCGGCAACCCAAAAATAATAAGCCGTCCCCTTTAATAAGCCCAAGGCCATATTTTGTGGGTCAAAAAAATATAAGACCCTTATATTTTGGGGAAACACGGTATATATCAATTCTTCACAATTGTCTGTCTTTATCTGTCTATCATTCTATCGTTTTCTCTGTCTGTCTTCCTGCCTGCCTGCCTGCCTGCCTTTCTATCTCTATCTGTCGATCTACAGTATCATCTATCTATCTATCTATCTATCTATCTATCTATCTATCTATCTATCTATCTATCTATCATCTATCTATCTATCATCTATCACAGACAAACAGACAGACAGAACTGTGATAGACAGAGATTATCTATCTATCTATCTATCCATCCATCCATCCATCCATCCATCATCTTTCATATATCTATCATCTAATGGACTATCACTGTATTGTATATAAAATATACAATCTGCTGAAACTGTGATGTATGGTATATACCAGTTCAGCCTTATGGTTTTCACAATCGTCTGTCTCTATCTATCACTCGACCTTCTTCTCCGTCTGTCTGTCTTTGTATCTTTTTCTGTCTATCTACAGTGTCTGTCTGTCTGTCTGTCTGTCCATCCACCCATCCATCCATCCATCCATCCATCCATCCATCCATCCATCCATCCATCATATTTCATCTATCTTTTAATGGACTATCACTGCATTGTATATTTGCCCATCTATAAATAATACTTTTTAGTATGTCAATCAATTCATCTATCCAATAATCAAAGTATTTTCAAAACTAATATTATTGCCTTTGAAAACTACTATGAAAATATTTTCACTCCGATGACATTTTTTACCCCAAAATTATATTTAAAGAAATGCACTTTCCCTTCAAAAAATGATATCTGAATGCATTCCCTACCAGTCTCCAAAGAAGCATAACTATTTCTTTGAGAGAAAATATATATTCCCTTTCTTTAAAAAAATCTCTATATTAGAGTATGAACATTAAAATAATTCATGAGTAAAGGAACTATTCTACTCTTTGTTTTTCTGTTTATCTCCCTGGATCTCATTGTAAATGTATTGGAAATTTATCCCTGTGAATTCACAGACATTTCTTTGATAGCAATAGCACTTAGACTTATATGCCACTTCACAGTGCTTTGCAGCCCTCCCTAAGAGGTTTACAGAGTCAGCATATTGTCCCCCAATAATCTGGGTCCTCATTTTACTGACCTGAGAAGGATAAAAGGCTGAGTCAACCTCGAGCCAGTGAGCAGTGAATTAACCCTGCTGAAATAAAGCAGGCGTTTGTCTTATCAATTGGACTATGTTTATTTTTCCTAATGAAGAGGGAAAATGCCTTAACTATAACAAAATTAAATGGCAGAAATATGTTAAGCATTTTTTTCCCATAGAGATACTGACTTGCAAATGATGTAAAGATCTGTGGCGATTTTTGCTAGTGGCCTGCCATTGCTTGCTTCTTAGAACTCAGACAGAGGGATTGGATCAAGATCACCTAGCTGTATTCATGTTTAATATGCAACTAGGCAATATGGTCTCAACTTTTCCAGCCTGAACATTACACAAAACTGCCTCTGTTATCAAATATTAACCCTATGATATTTCAGGGCTACTGGTTAGTTTTAATTTAAGCATTCTCCACTACACTCTTCTGTTGCTTATATTGCTTCTCTCTTGTCCCTTACTATATTTTTATATTCTTTAAACTATAGATTTGTTGTATCAATACTATTTCTTTTCTTGAAAATATAACGAGAAGGAAGGGAGGGAGGGAGGGAGGGAGGGAGGGAGAAGGAAGGAAGGAAGGAAGGAAGGAAGGAAGGAAGGAAGGAAGATCATAGAAGGTCAAAGAAAAAGAGATAGGAAAAAAACCACTCATCAAAGAACAAATTAAACACAGTTAAAATGAAGATTCTCTCTCTCTTTGTAAAAAAAAAAAAAAAAAAAAAACCAAAAACCTTACACAATGTCCTCAAAGAGTTCCTTAGAAGGATGTTTTCTGAAGTCTATCATTGTATAGAAGATGTAGATTTGAGAGATAATGTCCACAACAATGAAGTCTCCTGATATTGCTTGTGAACAAAAGGCAAAGGATCACTAGTCCTACATTTAGCACTGGGAATCATGTTCATCATTTCAGGCAAAAGCACTAAGACCAAGGCTGCAAATATCACCATCATGAATAAATGTCTGTTTCATCTGTGAGCCAATGTATGTTTC